TTTGAAAATGCTAAAATCATACAAAGTACTTATCTGACCATAGAGAAACCAGAAATCAATAATAAAAGAAGGAAGACAAGAAGGAGGAAGGGGACGAGGAATAGCAGGAAAAACTGATAGATGTTTAGAAGGTCCCCAAATGTTTGGAAAAGGTTCCAAATAACTCACAGTTCAAAAAAGAAATCACATGGAAAATTACAAACTATTTTTAACAATGAAAATGAAAATAAAATGTATCAAAACTCATACAGGGCACCCAAGGCATTTTTAGAGATAAATCCATAGCTTTAAGTGTTTTTATTTCAAAAGGAGATCTAAAATTTAAAAAATTCAAGCTTGTATTTTAAGAAGCTAGTAAAGGCAAGCAAATTAAAACCTAATACAACTGGAAGAAAATAAATAATAGATATAAGAGCAGAAGTTAATAAAAATAGAAAACAAGAGAGAAAGTTAATGGAAGTAATTTTTAAAATCAGTAAAACTGATAAGCCTACAACTAGACTGAAAGAGAGAACATAAGATACTGTCCTGTATAAAAGAAATATAGCATAAACCTTATGGACATTAAAAGAATAAGAAAAGAACATTATGAAGAACAATAAACTTGACAATTTAGATGCAATAAAAATATTATTTGAATTATACACATTACCAAAACTGAAACAAATAAAAATAAGCCTGAATGATAAAACAAAAGTTGATAAAGTGGATTTCATCAAAATTAATAACTTCTGCTCTTCAAAAACACCATTAAGAAAAGGAATAGGCAAATTATATACTGGAAGAAAATATTTTCAATACTGAGATCTAAAAAAGGACTCCTATCCAAAATATATCAATAATTCTTATAAATTCATAATAAGAAAACTCAATTTAAAAATGAGTTAAGTATTTGAAAATATAGTTCACAAAAAACATATGAATGACTAATAAAGACATGAAAAGATGTTATTAATCATCAGGAAAATGCAAATTAAAACCCTAATGAGAAATGTACATACACACAACAGTGGTTAAAATTAAAGTCTGACAAAACCAAATGTTGGAGAGGATATGGAACAACTGGTATTTTCATACATTGCTGATGAGAATGTAAAATGAGACAACTTTGAAAAACAGTTTGGCAGTTTCTTATAAAGTTAAACATACACACAACTCAGCAATTTCACTCTTAGGTGTTTAAAAGGGATATGAAAATATATGCCCACACAAAGACTTGTATACAAATGTTCATGGCAATTTTATTCATAATAGCCAAAAACCAGACACGGCTAGGTTTCCATCAACAGGAGAAGAGATAAACAAACTGTGGTATAGCCATATAATGCAAATCAATTCAGCAATTAAAAAAAAAAAAACAAATTACTGATACACACAACAGAATGATTCTCAAAAACATTATGCTGAGCAAAATAAGTCAGTCACAAATGTACATAATGAATATGTACATTATGATTCCACTTATATAAAATCCTAGAAAGCAAACTAATCTGTAAAGTCCTAAAGGAACTCAGTGGTTGTCTAAGGTCTGAAGTGAGTGGTGCAAGCAGCCAAGGAACACAAAGAGACTTTTAGGGTGAAGCAAATGTTCTATATCATGATTGTGTTTAGAGGGGTGTATACATTTGTCAAAACTAATTGAACTATACACTTAAAATAAATGCATCTTACATATTAATTGCACATCAATAAAATTTAATTTATTAAGTTACAGAGTTTTTTAAATTTAGTAGAAATGCAGGTGCATTTGTTTGTCAACACGTTTTAACTAATATCCTCTGACCAACCAAATGTATTAGTATGGTTAACATATCAGAATTAAGGTGTGGTGTGCTGAAGGAAGTTTTAAGATACACTTGTTTTATTCTATAATACCTAAACTAAAGCAACCATTTTGGATAAAATAAGAACTCCCAGCTGGGTGCAGTGGCTCAAGCCTGTAATCCCAGCACTTTGGGAGGCCGAGGCGGGTGGATCACGAGGTCAAGAGATCGAGACCATCCTGTTCAACATGGTGAAACCCCGTCTCTACTAAAATACAAAAAATTAGCTGGGCATGGTGGCATGTGCCTGTAATCCCAGCTACTCAGGAGGCTGAGGCAGGAGAATTGCCTGAACCCAGGAGGCGGAGGTTGCAGTGAGCCGAGATCACACCATTGCACTCCAGCCTGGGTAACAAGAGTGAAACTCCATCTCAAAAAAAAATAAAATAAAATAAAATAAGAACTCCCTATTTGATAAAACTAAAAATATTGAGTTAAGGAGAGATGTCTAAATATCCATAGTCTGTAAACTTGCTTTTGATTGATATTTTTGCCAGCTGGGCATCAACTAAATAATGTATACAGAATATAAGTATTGTATTCTCTCTAGCGTACAACCTTTAGCTCCATTTTCTTCCTAAAAAATAGGAAAAAGATTAATGTCTTTATTAGAACTTAAAAAGTCATAATCACAGAATTTCTTAAAAATAAGTATTTCAGGTCACTGTTATTTTTATTTGTTTTGAGATAGGGTCTCACTCTGTTAGCCAGGCTGGAGTGCAGTGGTGCAAACTTGGCTCTTGCGCCTCCCTGGTTCAAGCAATTCTCATGCCTTAGCTTCCGGAATAGCTGGGACTACAGGTGCAGGCCACCACATCTGGCTGATTTTTATGTTTGTTGTAGATATAGCGTTTTGCCATGTTGCCCAGGCTGGTCTTGAACCCCTGAACTCAGGTGATCCACCTGCCTCATCTTGGCAACTAGTGGAAAAATGCTTATTTATGACCTAAAGAAACATTTCAGTTAATGTTGATGGTAGAGATAACATCTAATTTGCTAAAAACTATTTACTAAATAAGAATTTTTTCTGACCTTTCTCAATCATGGTAATTATTTAGGTACATGATTTTGTGCACTCTGATTGAATCTACTTCCTGAGCACATGATAGGTATTTTGGAAAAACAGCACCACACATAAATGTTTCCCCACTACATTTAGGATGAGTAAAACATGTTTTTCACATGAATCTCCTTGGATCACAGTAATAAATTCTTGGGAATATTGTTAATTCTCTTTTTACATAACTATTCATTTACTCAGAAACAATTAGACCCACCTTTTCTTCATGTAGAAGATACAATCTAAACATCTGCTCTGCCTTACAGAGGATTAATGTCTGTTACACATGCAAGTTCAGCCTCACTAGAGATCTTCTGTATTAGTCTGGATGTCCAGCGAAGCAGTGTCAAGAGACAGATATTAGATAGACATATATGTTTAAATATAAAGATATAAAGAGATTCGTTATAGAAAATTGGCTCACATGATTATAGAGGATGAAGAATCTCAAGAACTGTACTCAGTAGCTGGGTCTAGACCCAATGGTGTGGTTTCAGTCTAAGTGTATCTCCAAAAGTCGGAGAAGACTGATATTCCAGCTCAGACATTCAAGCAGAGAGTAAATTCTCCTTTAATTCCCCTTCTTCTATTCAGGACTTCAGTGAGTTGGATGCAGCCCACCCAGAGTGGGATGGACAATCTGTTTTGCTTGTTTACTGACCCAAATGCTAATCTCCCCTGCAAACCCCTCACAGACACACCCAGAACATTTGTGTAACCAAATATCCAGGCACAGTGTGGCCCAGTCAAATTGATATAAAATTAATCCCCATATCTCCCTAACTTTCATCCCCTTAAATAGATATAACAAGGGGTCACTGCTTTCCCTGGGACATTCTCTTACTTGGGATATCTATGGTAAACAAGGATCTTGATAACCAAGCATGACAAGATAAGCAAACAAGGTAAGATGGAAAAGCAAGCAAGTGCCCAGGATGACATACTAGTTTAAAACATAGCAGGAATCTGGCCAAAGCCTACTTGGAGAATGATTAAGTGGTTTCTAGAAGCAATTGTTTATAAAATTTATTTAAGGGAAAAAAATGTGTGGTTTGAATTTAGTTTAATTAAACACTTCACACTGTTTTGTTGTTGCTGCTTTCCCTGCCCTGGTAAATAGCTATTCCAGTGACTTAAAGATAGGTTATTATCATATCTCTCAGTTTCTGATAGATGCCCAAAGATCATCATTCAGACTGTATATCCTGATGTGACTGATTGTGTAGAGAATAGCATTTCTTTTTAGAATTATTACAAATGAATACAAATATAAAAATGAATAGAGGAAGTACTTAAAGAGCTTATTTTAAATCATGAAAATTTAGTGAAAGAAGCACCAATACAGATATTCTACCTAAATGCTGATTATATAACAAGGGATCTCATAGCAGTTTCTCCCTATAGATGAAAGAACAAAAGTATATTCTATTTTTTCCCTGCCAAAATAAATCTAGTGCATTTTTATTTTATTTTGCATAAGCCAGAGATATGTTTCTTATGCAAAAATACTATGAAAATGAATTGGAATAGATTAAAAACTGTATACAAATTAACACTCTAAGGAAACTGGGTTTCTTAAAAGAATTTGGTATCCCTTAGCAAACCCAATGTATTCAAAATAATCTCAAATTTAATAATAGATTTTTCTTCTACAAGTTTAGATTTGAGGCTAAGAGGCAGAAGTAAGTTACAATTTAAAACTAATATGTTAACTCCAATTCAGAAAGGGTTTTAAAATCCCTAAAAGATGCTTTTGCTTCATATTTTTTTAAAGAAAATGTATTTATGGTGAGCCATGGCATGCCTTCTTTTTCAAATGAAAGGGTTTATTTCCAATGCATTTTCTCTCTGGTGAATGCTCCCAACCACACGCTGATATTATAAACAACCTGAGTTTTCACGTTCATTTAGAATCCGTGATAAATTTGGTTACTTTCCCTCTCCAGCTTTATCACTAAAATTACAAAATGTAAAGCAGTTTTAGTTTAACTTCTTTTTTCCCAGTAATCCAATGGTAAATCCTCACTAGACTGAGATAATCAAAATCCACATGCTTGATACTCTAACAACATATAACATGCAGTTCCCCCAATAACTTTGTTTTTTATCCAATCCAGCACTAATGTATGCAAGCATTTTTGGGAATGTATCTGCAATTATCCAAAGACTATACTCGGGAACTGCCAGGTACCACATGCAGATGCTGCGAGTAAAAGAGTTCATTCGCTTTCACCAAATCCCCAACCCTCTGAGGCAACGTCTTGAAGAATATTTCCAGCATGCATGGACTTACACCAATGGCATTGACATGAACATGGTATGTATTTCTGTTTCCAAAATGAAAGTGCCGCAGGCATTATAGTGATAGCCAAAATGGAAAAAAAAAAAAAAAAAAAAAAAAAAAAAAAAAAAAAAAAAAAAATCCAGTATTACCAGCTTTGAACCCCTTGCTTTTGTTTTCTTCTCTCGGATGTGTATTTTCTCCCCTGGAGATAGTCTCTCATTCTCAATTCATGGCATTGCATGGTGCTATATCTAGTTATACTGTGTGGCAAAGGCATTATAACATGATGCAAACTGATATAACTGTGTGTAGTAGAGTTCCCACTTCTGGTGAGAGAGAGCATTGTTTTAGCTGGGACTTGGACTTTCACTACAAAGCCTCATTGCCAACACCCCCAGAAAATAGTTGGATCCAGTTGCAATAAGATTTGGCAAGTCAGCAGTAATAATTATGATGCCCCCAAACAGGGATCCCAGATTAACACACTTTAAAAGACAGGACATTGAAAACTTGTAGGAGAAGTCAGGGATCTTAACTATATATAAACATTTTATGATAGGAAGTTTCACACTTATTTTAAGAATTTTTTTTTCTATATTTTAAACAGTCTATGCTGTGCCCTCTTACTCTACCTGGTTTAATGCATCTTTCCTTTCAAGGGGAAAATACAGATGCCTTCATATTTTTCAGCATCAACAATCACCTGTCATAACTTCCCTTCCTGTATCACTGCTCAAAAATCAACACAATTAATAATACTAATGTGGTCCAAAACCCTCTTTTTATTATTAGGAGAATTGCCCACATTCTTTTACCTGGCAATATGGCTATAAAGTCTGATTGCTAAATAAATCATACAACAAATCCAAATTCTATGACATGTCACAGAGCACCAGAAAAAAATAATAAAAATAGGGTACCTTCCCATATGGCTACTCCTTCACTGGGCAAGGACCCTGTTTCTAAGAATTCCTCAGAAAATAAAAGCATTCATATTTAATTATGTCAATTGCATGAAACAATTTTTGTGTAATTGAGCCTGTACAGTTTAAATTGGTACTTTCTGTTTGACTGGTAATATTCTAATGAAAAAGCAAGTGTTCAAAATTAGCAACAATGGTGCAGGAAGCATTGCAAATATTGCCCAATTTAAAAGTAATATTTATCTATGGATAAGTTTATCATAGCTGTGTGTGATTTATTTGAGAAGGACATGCCATGACAAAAAATGTTAATTTGAAGAGCTAATCAAATTAGCACTTTTCACGCAAAATTCCATGAGTCATTTCTAATCATCCCAAAGTTCCTTGTGAAAAATTCATTTGATAAATTGATCCCGCAAAGGAACACTTTATTCTCACAAGAAGAACACCTACATATTGATCACTTTTCTATATTTCCATCATTGTTATTGTTTAACAAAGGTGTCAGCATTCAAAATCTACTGGGGACTCTCTGCTGCTGGGTTGACTGAAGCAGTGTCAAAATTTTTTAATTAAAACATATCACTCATTTTTTGTTGTTTCATACTGCCAGATTATTTCAAAAACAGTAACAAAACAACTATTTTACCCGCCCCCCGCCATGTAACTCTAGTTTTGTGACCATTTTTTGTGATAAAGTCTATTTTGTGACAACTATTTACCTTTCATTGTTTGACTCTATTACCTATGAATATGGTTTATATACCACGTGCCTATTTACAATGTACTTATGAAAGATTTATCTCTTTCCTGTCTGCTTCACACCTTAATAAATGGAATCACAACACCCACCGGTAAGAACAGGAGGTATTTATATCCAATTTAATTCTCGTGTAAATTGTGGAGAACACCCTTGTTATCTGTCAGGTTTAGAGCTTGTTAAATGATTTCCAATGTTAGTTCTGATCTTTTTTGCATGACGTAGCTGAGGAAATACAAAGCAAGAAACTGGGGAAGACAACCTGGAAGAGGCCAAGTACAGAATAGAAATCCTTAACTTTAACAACGACTTGACCTCTAACAATATTTATATACAGCTTCCCAATCCCCATAAAAATTCACTTCTCTGCCCCAGTCCCGACTCTGGTAAAGGCTATGGGTATACGGTTTGCATTAGATAATGGTCATAAATAAAATGTCATTCTCTTTCATTATCTTCTATTTTCATGATGTAGGTGCTTTCCTTTCCTCTCATCTGCATGCCTGTATTACATCATCCTGGAGTGTGTGAGCTCTAAACCATGTGCCACTGAGTCTTGCATGTGGTTTTGAGAGCTTGACTTTGCACGGACTTCTTGTTTATATATGGTGTCTACATTTCTCATTTTGTGACTGCAAAGTGAGTAAGCAAACTGCAAGATAACTCTGAACACTCAGCAAATCAAGGATGCTTACTTGTTAAGCGCTACGTACGAAACAAAGTTGATTAGAGAAAAAGCAACTGTACCCTTAGACTATTGAGAGGTTACAAAAAATATGAAAATGGATTTTTTTTTACCTCCAAAACCACACTTAAAATCCCTCTGTATTGTCAACTAAATTGTAATTTAATTGCAGTTTAAAATCATTCAAATTTATGTGTTGTCACACATAAAAGCACATTAAACTTGTATTTTGCATCAGCATTCCATGTTATTTTAAGTATAACCTTAAATATAATTTCTCATGAAACATTTCAGGTCATTTTTGCTGTTCAACCACGTCCAAATGAAGTACAAGATATTCAATCATAGTGTATTAATTGACCCAAAATTATTTTCATAAACAAAAGCATTTGATTGTTTGATAGACCGCAAAAAAATAAGAAAGAAACGACCTGTAAAGTGTGGCCATATCCTTTAATCCCTGCATCTTTTGCTTTTTGTGAAAAAGGTATTGCCAGAATGTTTCAAAATTTAAAGCACTGTAGGAACAGTTATGGACTCCCTTTTAATTGAGCCAGGTGGTTCAGAGTACAAAAGGAAATGTGCCAGAATAACGAAGCTAGTGAAAGAATCATGGTTTTTTGTTTTGTTTTGTTTTTGTTTTTGTTTTGAGACAGAGCCTTGCTCTATTGCCCAGGTTGTAGTGTAGCAGTGCCATCTGGGCTCACTGCATCCTCTGCCTCCTGGATTCAAGCAATTATCCTGCCTCAGCCTCCTGAGTAGCTGGAATTACAGGTGCATGGACCACGCCTAGCTAATTTTTATATATTTAGTAGAGATAGGCTTTCACCATGTTGGCCAGGCTGGTCTTGAACTCCTGATCTCAAGTGATCTGCCCACCTCAGCCTCCCAACGTGCTGGGATTACAGGTGTGAGCCACTGCTCCTGGCCTAAATCATGTTCTTTTGAGTGTGATCTCATATTTATGAATAGGAAAAATTATCTGAAATATGCGCACAGATTAATTCTGGAAAACCCTCTTCCTTCTACCTTTAAAATTTTTAGTTATGTGTGAAGAGATTTTTTTTTTTTTTTTCAGAATAGGACTGATGGCATCTCAATGAATTTCTCCAAATCAAAGCTCTCTTGTGATTTAGTCTGAAACTTTCTGAAGTTACCTAACACTGTTTTAGTTACAAAACTACCACAGTAATGAAAATCATCATCTACGTCAGTGTAGAATTAAGTGGCCTCACATCATACACAGGAGTCTGGCTTGAATGAAGAAGGACTCTAATGACCATGGTCCGTACATCTTTCTGGATGAAGAGAAACAAACTACTTAGGGCAGAACCTACTCCTAAATTTAATATCATACCTGCATGGAAGAAATGCCCATATGAGCATTTAATGAAGAATTTACTCCTTACCTAAAAATAGCACCTCCACCCCCACCAAATAATGGCCAAATAATAGAAAAAAATGCAGAATAGGAACTCAGAAGACCTAAAAAAAAAAACTCTCGGTCTGCCACTACTCTTGAACAAGTCACTTAACCTCTCTGTAATTTCATTAAACTTGTCATTTTCAAGTATTTTTAAAGCACTAGAACTCAAATATGCTAAATGTGCAAAAACATTATTATGGAAGCTTTTCTGCTTGAGGATGGCAATTCTAACGTATCTGCTGCCCATCCCCCCCACTCGGGTAATCCAGAAACAGTTTTCATTTATTTTAGTAAGAGAAGGGAACAATATCTCTTTTTTCTTTCTTTTTTTTTTTTTTTTTTTTTGGCCTGGGATATTAATGGGGGAAACTTTGAGAGACAGACATAGAAAGGAGTAGGAATAAGAGCCTAGGAAGAGTTATAAACTCTCAGCAGAGTGGGTAGGTAAGTTTTTCTTAAAGACAGGAAAGAAAGAAAAGAGAAAGGGTGAAGGTGGTAGCTTGCAGGTTAAAGGGAAACTTGGTATCACTTGCACTGTGTCATTCAGTTTCCTCCGTTAAGCATGGACTAGATGAATTCTGAGAAAGAAGGAGGTGCAAACAGGATAGCTCAAGACAGGGTGAGTTTTTGGAGATTTTAATTGAGTCTGCTTAATAGACTAAAAACAAACTTAGAATCATAGTGAGATTCTGAGTGAGATTCCATTACAAGAGCATGGACTTGTAATGGACCCAATGAACAAAGCCAGTTAAAAGTAGAAAAGAGTATAATAAAGAATGATATATTGTTTAATAGAAATGTATATTGCTTGAGGCTGATATAATTTCTAAGGAACATTTTAATGAAAATTTGATTTTCTTTACCTTCATAACTCTTCTAGTTTCTCTATGATCTGTCAGAGTAGCCTCCAGTACTAATGCAGAGCTTATATCTGCATCTACAATCTAACCCTACTCCATCAAAAACTTTGTTACACTCATTCTCTATACTTATTTGAAAGACTTCATCTGGGCCAGACCTTTATATTTAGATCACAGTATGTTTTGATACACTGTAGCAAATTATAATGGTGAGCTCTTTCAGTTATGTTCAATTAGCAACTCAGATGAAAACAATCCTTGTGACAGTATACCCCATTAGAAATGTAAAAGCAAAATTTGCAAAGTAGCATGGCTTGCCTTCACCATATTGCTTTCATCTCCCTTACTTTTTCTAATGATTTTTTATCTGCTGAAGTTG